TTAAATATAACCAGATCCAAAGGAGGTCACTACTGGCTCGATGGCGGTGGGACCGCGCCTGCATCAAGTTCCAGAGAACCTCCCTCAATGCATCAATGCAAGGCTGCCTGTTCAACTCAGGCTTGAGCCATAGGCTGAGAGATCCGCATCTTTGTTTCCCTCTTCTCTCAATGCTCACCTAACATAATCCCTAAACATGCATGCACATAAAGGAACCAATGGAAATGAATATCAGCTCGATAGCGGTGCGACTACGCCTGCTTCAATTTATTGTGCATCAGAAATTAATTGCAGGTTACCCGTTCGACTCGGGATCGAGCCATTATGATGAACCCATTGTTATTTTTCCTTCCTGCTTTGCTTTTTTCGAGGCACGCCTCGCCTTCAAATGTCAACGCGGACCTTCAAGGGTCTCTGCATTCACAGGTTAAAATCCGCAACGAGCCTGCTCCCAGATCGAGGAACCGCACACCTTTAATTTTTCATCAGGTTCGGGCCGATTCCCGCTCATATTGTGGCTTCCAGATGCTTCCAGACGCTCGCGTCTGAGATATGATCTATCTCAACTCATGGATGAATATTTCTGGCTCAAGGTACGCACGCATATCATTTTTTATTCAAATGACTTACCCAAGGAGCGAGTCAGCTAGGCCGATATCGGCTCGATAGCGGTGTGGACCGCGCCTGCTCCACTTCATAAAGTCGGCGTCATGACATAAATGCTGGTCACCCGTTCGACTCGGGATCGAGCCAGGCCCAGCCTGAATCCCCCTTTTTTCTGTTTTTTTTTGACACCCCATTTCTCCAACAACTCAGCGCCAGTGGCTTTCGTACGAGATGAATGAAACTATTTATTGCCAGTGTGTATAAGTACCTATGCACAACATGGTGGTAAGGATGGAGATGATGGGTCAGCGGCTATAGGGAAGGGCGCGCAACGAGGAGGGAAGCAGACACGCGCACGGGAGAAATACGCGAGTGCACGCGAGGGGGAGAGGAACAGGGACACGCCAATCCCCAGGCGGACCACGCGACGCCGAAAGTTTGGATTTTGTGTACGTCCAAGATAGCGGGCAGAGACAGACGTAGAGGGCACAGTGCGGCGGCTCGTGAGAGGGAATTCGTATCCATGTCTGTGCTCTGTCCAAAACGCGCAGAGTCGCTGCGCAACGTCCTGTTGTATGAAGCATGCATGGTCGGAGGCGAGAGCTGCGCAGAGTGCGCGATGACACCGGCGCCGACGCGGTGTCGAAGAGAACACACACCCACGCGCACGCGCATCTCACCACCAAATACTTCGATACACCTACGCCTAAAGTGCGTGACGCCCACGCGGTTTCGGGTTCCAGGGAGAGCAGGACAGATACAGTTTGGCTGCGCAAAGGGCGTGTCGGCGTCCGCGTGGGTGAAGATATGTGGCATCGCAGCGCGGATCCGGGTGGCGTACATCAGGAGGGCATGGTGTGGATCAATAAGCGCACGCACCGGAGAGAGAAACGCCGCAGTTTTGGGTGCATCCCCGCGCTCCGTCCGAAACGCACTGCGTCGCTACGCAACGACCATGCTAAAGCGGGGGTGCGGCGACGGTAGGTGCATCGTTCAATACACTTGCGCGTAGAGTCGATGACGGGGAGACGAAACCGGGCGTGCGCTGTGCAAGGGACGTGTGCGTAGAGGGCGTCCGAGTCGGCTTCCGCGTGGGTGAACATGAGTCGAATCGCACTGGAGGCGGGGCGGGCACTGGAGGCGTACGTCAAGAGCACATGGTGTAAGCCAATGAGCTCACACACCAGGAAGAGGAACACCGCAGATGCATCCCCGCGGTCCGCTGGCGGGAATCGGCGGTACCAACGGTGCATAACTCGGTAACGTTAGGGTGAAGAACACGCGCTAGCGTTTCCCGAACGTGGGCAGATGGGCACGGCCGCCGCGAAGTGGTGGGTGTGGTGCGTTGACCTCGGCGTTATCGGGACTGCGAGGAAAGGGACCGAGGTTCAATGAAAGGACCACTGGTGTCTCCAATGGCTCTCCATCGGGTTTCCCCACTCAGTGGAATAACATCGCCGGCCGGTGGAGCTGAAGCGGAATCAGTTGAGAGGTTAGGGCAGAAGTAGGACAAGGGGCGCAGGACAGCAACGGCACGAAGGAGGGAGGCGACAATGATGACGAGAAGAGACATGCATGTGGCTGTGTTTTAGCATCAGATGGATGCCGTTCTTCGGGCCGGGACGGACAAGATGCACACGAAAAAAGTGCTTGATACTCGATAGCATGTCATCTTATTCCTTCGCGCCTCGGGAGAGGCGAGCCTCCAACTTTGACTGCAATCTCGTCGCGGGCGTGGCCTATGGTGCGCACATTTTTTCCTCCCTCCCGCATTTCTGTGTCTGTATCTGGAATCGCTGACGATGGCGACAACAGGCGTGCTGTTCACGATCACGGTGCAGACGCTCATCCTGTTCCTGCAGCTGCCGTGAAGGCTCGTCACGTATGTCTCGAGGATGTTCACGCTCGCAAGCATTGGCTTCGCGGGGAACGCCACTTCAATCAGCGGGTCTTCCTTGACGACCGCAACTTTGGCATCAGGAAAATCCAAAGTTGCCCCATAGCACCATATAGCGCACCAGAGCCCTATATAGTGGCCATAGCTGATATAGCAAACTGACCAACCTCAGAGAAACGTGGGACCCTGGACTTGAACTTCATAGCCCACCATAGCCCACCATAGCTCACCATAGTCACAGTGTTTTCTATGATAGTGGTCGCGGTCAGAGCACAAAAAAAAATTCAGATGTTGCAATTGTAAGGTCATAATGTGGTGTTCTCTTATTGCATTACTAGGAGGGGTGTGAAGTAAGGTTAAAGAGAAGCTAATTAACATTAAGCAAGAGTAAGTATATTTAAATGTGACCACCTTGGGGAGTTGAACTCAGGACCTCGCGAGTACAACTAAAATTTGAGAAGCAACAAAATAACCACTGGACTAAGGAGACATTAAGATGTGTAGAATCAAAGTCATATTAGTAGGGTTGGCACTGACCTACCACCTCCCTCTGTCTTTGCCTTCACTTTGTGGTAACTTACTACATATAATGTGAAGTGGTACTAGCGAGGCCATAATTTTGCAAGTAGCTAAAAATAAACCCCAAACCAAAATTGTAGAGCTCGAAATGCTCAACAAAAGTTGTCAAGGGACAGATTTTGCCTAAGGGCTTTGTCCTGCTGCAAACCATAAAATGAATTCCCAGAAGGTTCCATCTGGTAGCAAGGAAGATCTGGTCCAGATAACCATTCGTGACAGCCATAAATTTACTTGCCATTGTGTTACCGCTATTTATACTAGTGAAATCTTATAGATGAGCATAGCACCATATAGTCAATTGGTTCAGCTCTATAGACCATCATAGCTCACTATAGCATCATATAGCCAATCAGGTCAGTTATATAGCTCACCATAGCTCACCAGAGCATCATATAGTCAATCAGGTCAGTTATATAGCTCACCATAGCTCGCCATAGCCCCAGATAGCCCATGAGAGCCACCTATGTGTCTCTTAGAGCATTTCGGATTTTCCTGATGTTCCCGGCGGGCCCAACGACTTCACAGCTGAGATGCGATGGATACATCGTGATGAACTGGATGGCGTCCGTGCTCGTGGCGCGTGCCCCCCAATACCAGAGCCCTACTATAGCTGACATGCTTCTGCATTAGCTATAGCACTTCACCATGTTCTGGGGCAACAACTACTGGATCAGCCCCGCTCATGTTCCTCGGCTATGTTGGTGCCCCCCCCCCCCCCCCCTCTTCCTCTCTTCTTCTTTACTGACATCGCACGCAACCTCCTCCCTCATCTTCCTCTTCTGCGTCGCCATCCCCACCTCCCCCGCGCTCGGCCTCCTCTCACGCAACTTCGGCACCGTCTACTGGTCCATCTCCCTCTCCCTCAACCTCCTTCAGGGCATCGCCCCTGTCCTCATAGTCTTCCATGTCGTCCAGGGCCGCGCCTGGTCGCAGTACACCCTCCACTCGACTAACCCCGCCGCGGAGCGCACCAGCCACAGCATCGCCAATGGGTCATTCAGCCTCCCTCGAGTGACGGGTGGTCGCTGCAGAGTGACTTCCGCATGGGGTCACTGCTCACGGACTTCCGCGCGGGGAGTGACTTTGGGGCAAGGAGTGAGAAGAGCGATGCGGGTGGAGAAGCGAGACGGGCAGTTTGCGGGAGGGTGGGGCCAGTCGGGCAGTCTGGCCGACGGGTGGGGCACCCGCGCGAATGTGGATGGGGGGCTGAAGCGGGAGAAGAGCGAGGATGTGCAGGGTAGTCTGAGCATGGGAGGGAGCGACCTGTTAGCTTTGGCGTCAGGGGGAGTAGGCGCGAGGAGGATTGGGATGGGGACGGGCGGAGATGGGGCGGAGGGGACGCAGAGGAGGAGTCGGAGTAGGAGTAGGAGGAGGGGGTCTGTTTGAGTTAATTTAATTTATACACGGATTATACCACAGTCGGGTCGGGGGATAGACTTCGACTTGAAAGGGAAGGAGCCTGAGGGCAGCGACGAGTGCGCGCGCGTTCCCCTCGTCTGTTTACGCGGGCGATGTGCGTCGTCGCCACTCCCGCACCCTACACACCCTGGCCCGGGACACCCACCCGCTCTTGCTTGCCTTGTTCTGCCCTTCCGGCTTTCCTCACTCCTATGCCTATGAAGGCAATATAGGCTGACGATGGATAGGTGGTAGGCTTCTTTATCATGCTTGTTCCCTTCCTTCCCCATCGCCTAGTCCGTAGGGTGCGGTGTCGCTTGATCCTCGCCATCCCAGTCTCGGATGCACAGACCTCGGAGGAGCAAGGGAGCGAGACTTGGAATTTGTGCATGTTTGGCACCGTCGCGCGACGTGACGCGAGCACGTGCCAAGGGCTTCGGATTCATTTGACAATGACATTCATTTTTTCTTAACTCATTTTTTTTGGCCTGATATCATGCTTGCACTCAGTGCGAGAGTCGACTCGGTGGCGGCTGGACTGCGTCTGCGATTGCTATGTGCATGAGGAAAATAATTTCAGCAGAAGGTGCCTGTTCGAATCAGGCTCGAGTCATATAACAGCTCTTGCATAGTTTTTTTTGGACAGGGGATTTACTACCCGCTTTGCAGGAATATACAACGAGCTCACACATCTCGGTTCTTTTAGCACCAAAAACCGACTCGGTGGCGGGTGGTTCGCGTCTGCGTTTATTGTGCAGTGGGAAAAAGAACTTTGAGCAGAAGGTGCCTTTTCGAATCAGGCCCGGGTCATTCGTGAGTCGAATTCTATTCTTTTTGGAGACTCGGAGGGGATTTACTGCCCGCGTTGCAGGAATATACAACGAGCTCACTCCTATCCCCTGCGTTCAAGGAAAGAACCGACTTGGTGGCGGCTGGTCCGCGTCTGCCCTCGTTGGCGGAAGCAAGAAATACTTGAGCAGAAGGTGCCTGTTCGAATCATGCTCTAGTCTTTCCTATTTCGCCTGACTCTTTTTTTGTTTTTGCGCGTGCAAATCCATTCCTAGCTTGCCAAAATATGAATAACTCACTTCTCTCCCTTATGTTCAAGTCAAGAACCGACTCGGTGGCGGGTGGCCCGCGTCTGCGCTCGTTGGCGGGTTGCTTTAAGAATCATTTGAGCAGAGGTGCCTGTTCGAATCAGGCTCGAGTCATTCGAGGTTTCCTGGCATTTTTCTTCATTCCTAGCTTGCTAAAATACAAGTAAGCTCACCTCATCGCCCCTGTGTTCAAGCCAAGAACCGACTCGGTGGCGGATGGTCCGCGTCTGCGCTTGTTGGAGGCCATTAGCAATCTCTTGAGCAGAAGGTGCCTGTTCGAATCAGGCCCGAATCATTTGGCAGCTGTTACACAGTTTTCTTTTTTTTGAAGAGGGGAATTTACTACCCGCGTCGCAGGAATATAAAACGGGCTCACTCCTCTCCAGCATTAAAGTGAAGAACCGATTCGGTGGCGGATGCTCCGCGTCTGCGCTTATTGCGACCTCGCTAGGAATCATTTAAGTAGAAGGTGCCTGTTCGAATCGGGCTCAAGTCATTCTTGGATCGCCGGGCGGGCATTTCATTACTAGTTTTGCTAAAATATAAATAAGTTCACTCCTCTCCCGCGTTAAATATAAACGGAACTCACTCCACTCCAATGTGTTCAGAAAGTACCTGCTCGATTCAGGCTCGAGGCACGCCCTTGGGTGAATGGCGCTTTCTTTATTGAAGACTAGGAGGGGATTTACTACGCGCGTTGCAGAAATACAAGTAAGCTCACTCCTCCGCCTTGTGTTCAAGTCAATAACTGACTCGGTGGCGGATGGTCCGCGTCTGTGCTCGTTGGAATTTGCTTTAGGGATAATTTGAGCAGAAGGTGCCTGTTCGAATCAGGCCCGAGTCATTTGGCAGCTCTTACACAGTTTTTTTTCCATTGGAGAGGGGAATTTACTACCTGCATCGCAGGAAGATAAAACAAGCTCTCTCATCTCCCTTGTATTCAAGCAAAGATCCGACTCGGTGGTGGATGGCCCGCGTCTACCCTCGTTGGCGGAAGCAAGAACTAATTGAGCAGACGGTGTCTGTTCGAATCAGACTCGAGTCTTTCCTATTTCGCCTGACCCTTTTTTTGTTTTTGCGTGCGCAAATCCATTCCTCGCTTTCCAAAATATGGATAAGCTCACTTCTCTCCCGTGTGTTCAAGTCCAGAACCGACTCGGTGGCGGGTGGCCCGCGTCTGCGCTTACTGGGAGGTGGGAAATAATTTGAGCAGAAGGTGTTGGAATATGAAGCTGCAGTACATTACCAATGGTACTTGGGCAGAATCTCTCTCTTTATGAAATTGTCCGTGTCTGTCTGAAGCTTTTCTTTGGAGCTATTGAACCACATCTTCGGTACATCAACTGCATGATGGCCAAAAAACCCACGCCTGCTGAGAACAAAAATACATACACTGCCTTTTAAGCTCCGATTTTGGTTCATCAGTACCGAAACCTTGGTTAATCAGCGCCGACAGTGTGGAATATCAGCTTTAAGTTCGGAAATTCGCGACACCGGCATGTCGGCGGCGGCATACCCCGCATGCATCGAAATTACAAAAGTAACTGATTTTGGGATGCTGCAATCTCAGTATGAGTTTCATTGTTTAAGAAGAACACTCTGGGTTTGTAATTGAGTGTCTGAGGGTCTACACCTCGCATTTAAGTCAGGGCGACATGCCTCAGCCGTGATGCCGGCGTCCGCGCCGAACTCACTCCGATGACAACATCACCAAATCGAATTCTATACTCGACGGCAGCGAACCTCACATGCCAAGAAAAATGCTCTGAGTTCATGATTTTGCATATGTCAACGGGATATGCCAACGCCTCCTGAGGCACAAAGTGCAATATTTTATTCTCAAATGATGCTTACATTATAAGGGTCAAATTATGTGAAACGAGAACTTTTGTGTCCTCAGGCTGCGATGTATCTTAAACCGAGAGCAGATATTCAGTCACAGTGTGTAAAGGTGTCGTTTGATTTGAGAGCATTGTCATTGGCAGCCCAGATATTGAATCACAGCAAGAAAGCTGGCCGAAATTGTGTAGAGCCAGAAAGCTTGATACAGCATTGACAACATGTCAATATTTGCATTGTCAAAGTCCAGTGAAGGGACTCTCAAAGAAAAGGGATGTCGGCGACGGCGTGGCACATGCATCGTAATTAGAAAAGTCTCTTTATTTTGATATGCTACAATTTGCAGCATAAATATAAGTTTCACTGGCAACAATGCCTGGAGTTTGAGCTTAGCAATGACTACCTGTGAGTCCATAGTTCACATTTCAACCATACTCCTGCGTCAACATTATATCTACAGGCTGCTGCTGTTGTGTGGATCTGAATTTGGAAAAGAGGATGACGGACCGCGGAGCGGTCCGTCAACCGCTTATATTCTCCCTTGGTCTTGCTTACTCATTGCTTACTGATACCTTACCAATCACCCAGACCGAGTCGCTGGTCGTGTTAAGTTATCAATGCAGGAACAGGTACTCCCAGGAACAGGTACTCCTAGGAACAGGTACTTGACATGAATGTTGCAATCTGCCAACCGTTCCGCCAGGGTCCCTTTGCTGCACTGTCGCATTCAACTGTTGCCTTTTTGGTTCTATCCCTTGGTTCTGCGGTCTCCATCCGTCGCACCCGCTCTCACTCCTGAGTTGAGCTTGCGAATTATCCCAACATGTTTACTGATCACATACCGCACACCAGACCGGTTCCTGGGCGATTGTATATAATACAGCTTCTATGTGATGGCAGCATGTGGAGACTCAAAATTAACTATAAGCACAGAAGCTCTGTCAGAGAATCAACCCCTTTCGCAGAAATGTATAAAAGTTCGATATCTTTCTGAGTGACCCACGACCCTTGCCACTTGCATAATGCTTATGCAACTGAAACCCATAGCTGTCCTGGCTTGCTGCGTACTCACTGCTGCAATTAATATCAGTACCCCCAAACCCGACCTTGGAAACATTTTTGCCGTCTACCCCGGCTGGAGTATGACCGTCGGTAACGCGGTGCGCCATAAATATCCCATGTTCAGCCTATGTGTGGACTCACTCAGCCGATCTATTCAGAATAGTTTCCTAGGCATAACCGAGCTGGCATGTCAGCAGGCCTGCAGCACTGGTGAGTGCATTTCTGATGAAGTGGACCATCACTCAAGTTGCTCTTCAAGACACTACTTGTTTGGCGTACGTTTACTTTCCGTACGGCGGCCCAAACGTTCCCAATGCGCTCTGTACATTGAAGACCTCCATCAACCTTGCCGACTTTGCTGTCGAGACCGGTATCGTGACGAGTGTTGGGCTCATTGGAGGCTGTGGGACGTCAGTATATTCTCCTCTCCGTTTGTTCATCCCCATGACTGACAGTCCCGGTCCATTTTTCGCTTAGCTTCTCGCCGGGTAAGGATGCCTTCTCTTCCAAGTTCCAATCTCACCTAACTGTTTGTATTTCAGTTGGACCGACAATCTGCCAAACGGTCACTGTCCTACCTGCTTCTGCGGATGCTTAGTTGGCTCTTGATCTTCTGCACGGTCGACTACGTTCCCTGGCAGAATGCTTCCAAAGTATTTAAGAATGACTCTTGGGCTTCCTGCGGAGTGCACATACCTACCCCAGTTTACTATCTGCAGCCCCAGTTCAGATCCTGTTTGATCATTAACGGCGCTTGAACTCTGCCGTTAGAAGGTGGTTCATATGGTCCAGGAAACTATAAGGTAATCGACGCAACCCCGGTACGGGATATGCCCCGCAACTCGGACACCAACTACGCTTCTCTTCATGAGTATTTGCCTTGGTTTTGATCGCACCGCGTGACGTGGTTCCGGTACTGGCTGCGGGGAAATCACGCGTTATTATGAAATGCAAAGCTAAGACTGATGTTCGCCGTCCTCGTCGGCTTCTGGGATTTCTGCCCCCGCGGCGTGTCGCGACATCGCTCAACGTCAGCTACATATAAGACTTACACCTGGGCACTCACATTCATCCCCCAGAAATTCGAATTCGATAAGTCCTAGTATGATCGACCCGCCGATTTTTAGGGCCGTTAGACAATTCTAATGCATTCCTCGATATTATTAGATCCCTTTCAAATATTCAGGGTCTCTAGTATCCCTTCCTAGAGCCATCTTAAGAAGGTCGCTCACCCCCCAGTACTGCAGACACCTCTGGGAATAAGTAATTCAGGGTGGGCACATTTCCCACGGTGGATGCTATATTCAACCTGTGATGGCACTGATTGCTGCTCAAAAAACCTGCTTGCCCTTCGGTTCGGCTCTAATCTAAGTAACTGGGTGTTATTACACTATTGATACCTATATTCTATCAAAATCACGCCTAGTCCACTGCATTATTTATGCCCGACCGTCGGGCGGAATGCCAGACTTCTATAAACGGGTTTGTGTACCATGCAAATTCACGTACAAAGCGATGCTGCCGCCTGGTTGGTGCATGTGACTCAAAAGCCCGTGTTCGGGGCTTTTCGACGGTATATGAATCATATTTTTCCCGCTGTCGGATGAATTGCAAGATATATATATATTTTTTTTTCCTAAATCGGGCTTGAAATTTAACGCTCTGACCCTTTTCCCACGCGTTTTATCACCGACCCACCCCGCCGAACGCTGTTTCCATGACGCCACTCCGCCCACCCACTGCCCCATGACTTTGATCAAAGATTTTGACTCATCTCGGGCACCCCGGCGACCACTTCCCGCCCTGCTCTGACTATTTTCAGCCACGTCCAGGTAAATTAGAACTGGCCACCTGGATGCACCCATGCACCACCGCGGTACGAGCCGGTCCACCCTCCTCACAAACTTCCCCACAGCACGTCCGAGTATTATCCGGGCGCGGCAGCCGACGTGCGTCCCAACGATGTACACACATTATCTGTCCACCGTCCCCGCCCCCGCCCCGCCGTTCATGACGTGACGCGATTGTTTGCATGTGTGTTGAGCACGTGCTCGCCCGCGCTGGCCGTCCGACTTCTACATAATGCACGACGTCCTGCTCCTGCGCGCCCCATCTCGGCGTCTCCCGCTCTTCCCTCCCATCCCCGCCCTACGCCACATCCCACCAACTACCGCCCAGAGGGCCCGTCTCCGGTACCCATTTTTGCGCCCGCGCCGCCAAATCCGAGACGTCATCCTTGGACCCAACTTGGACCCGCGTCATATTTCGCACCTGGTCCATCGCATGGCCATGTGCTCCAATCCTATCCCTTGATGTCGCGCGCTGCGATCATCCTCAGCAGACGACTCTCTTAACTGCTGGGATCTCTTACTAGTCGCCGCATAACCAGGTCTTTTCCGCACGCCAACGACCTTGTTTACCTGGTCTCCTTTGGATTCCATCTTGCCCGTAAGTCCTCCTGATTTCGGAGCCCGCCCTTTCATCTATGTTCCCCTGATTCCTGCCCTATTGCCCGGCATTGAGGGCCCCCCAACTCCAATTACGCCCCGCTCCGCCTCCGGATGCGTATTCCTGTATCAACTTTATCTTCTCCAGGGAGTTCCTGGGCAGGATCTCGTGCTCATCTCGCACCGTGGACACTTTCCTCAATCCCTCGTGCGGTGAACGCCACCGTGAACGCCACCAGCGCTAACCCAGTGGAATATAACCATAACCGTCCCCCGCGCAACGCTTCCTGTGCCAGTCGGTTCCATGCGGATGGCGTCCTTTCTGCGAACTTTGTGACGCAACTTCGTTGTCGCGCGACACTCCTGTACCACAGGATTCCCGCCGCGATCGCGAAGCAACGCGCGGTTCGTCCATTGGTACATGCAATATGTCATTGGCTTCCAAGGTGAAATCCTCAGCGCCCTCGACGTTCACCCTTCTCCGAAACTGTCGCGA